TCTGCGTGCAGGTTGTTAGTTGTCTTCCTTGCTGTTTCTGTAACCAGCACTTTTTCCAGAATGAGGCTGTCAGCCTCAAGCCCAACCCCCAACCCTGGAGGGACATGGGACTGTTTTTGTATCCATTCTGTATTCGTTCCGTATCCATTCCACATCTGTTCTCTATCTGTTCTGTACTGTTCTGTTTCTGTTTTGTCAGCATTCAATTGGCAAGCGTTCTCAGAACTCGTTCAGAAGAACGAGGTTTCCGAGAACTAGCTAGCAAGAATGCTTCTAAGGAATTAGCAACACTCATTTGCATTTTATGAAAGGGTTTAAAACTGTCACCTTACGCGAGAATACAAAGAGTAAACTACATTTACCTGGTGAAAATGTCAGTCCAGTTACTTGCAAAATACGGGAAGAAGATGGTATTGTAACTTCAAGGCCAGTTAGCAAGTCTTTCCAAAACAATACAAAGTGACCCATAGTCTGTGAGATTACCCGAGGAAAGGAAGAAGTAAAAAGCTTGCCAAGCACTTTTAATGCCATTGATGAAGAAATGCAACCAAAAGACGAACTTTTTGCTCTTGTATTTACACAAATACAGTTCAGCGACTTGGCTGGAGAACTGGAGTGGTGCAAAGTATTGCCAACAAGCTGAAGTGACTGTTCAGTTAGGATTGAACGTTATCCTTGCTGATCCTTCCGCAAAGTTGGCGAACAACGCTGTAATAAAGGTCAACCAAAACATCGAGGTTTTGTTTTGTCTCTATTCGTGTGGAAACCTTTCAATCCCAGTCTAACTCGACTTGTCCATCCATTTACTTATTTGGATATAGCTCGAGCTTGTTTCCAATAAAAAAATGGCCGCGATGCGCACAAAATGGACAAGGAGATGCAGGGAAGATGCTTGCTTAGTGCATGTAAAAAGAAATAACATAAAGACGTAAGATGATTCGTTTTGTCATTTTCTCAAGATTGCTGGGCCGGACAAAAATTGGACAAACGTATATTTAAAGTTACACCATTTCTGAATCCCTGGTAAGCACTCTGATAGCAAAACTTACTAGCATGCATTCAGAAGAACACGTTCTGTTATAGTTTGCATTCTAGAGAATGCTTTTTTTCACTTCCATTCTGTATCCGTTTGGTATCCGTTCGGTATCCATTCTGTATCTGTTCTGTACCTGTTCTGTTCGAGTTCTCATGCCCGTTCTGTATCCGTTCTGTACCCATTCACAAATGAATTCCCTGTCAGGTTTCTTCTGAGCGGTACTGTAATTGTTAAAGTGTCTATATGGCAAAGATGGTTTTTGTGGTTTTGGTATCTCTATAACATCTAAAAATGTATTCAAACCAAAAATATTAATTCCAATCCTTTTTCACCATAGAATCAAGCTTTAAATTTCCTGCTTTGGCTACACCCAACGAAGTCGACTGCATGGTAAAAGATTGGTGACGAATGATGTCACTTCAGGAACATCTCAAAGCTTCATCTTTTTATCTCGCTTGCTTGACAACTGCATTGCTTCACCAACTTTGGTGTTTTTGTTTTTTGTCAATGAAGACTCCTCACCACTACGGAAACAATAGTGACCAGAACTAGCAGGATTTGGTGCTTCCTGACATGACGTCACAACCCATTCAGAAACCCAGACTCTTTTTTTTAGCAATGACTCACAATCACCTTCATTGGGAATGGCTAAAGCGGGAACTTAAAAGCTAGATCTTAGAACGTTAAAATGTCGGAACCCAATTTTTTTTCTTAGAATACCTTTTTACACATCACNATTCAGAAACCCAGACTCTTTTTTTAGCAATGACTCACAATCACCTTCATTGGGCATGGCTAAAGCGGGAACTTAAAAGCTAGATCTTAGGACGTTAAAATGTCGGAACCCAATTTTTTTCTTAGAATACCTTTTTACACATCACCTATTGGGATACCAAAGCTACAAAAACCCTCTTGGCTGTATAGACACATTAAATTGATTTGCCTGTTGTGTAAAGTGTGACTGATAAATCGAGCAAAAATTGATTAACAGTTTGAGAATAAATGAGCACATAAGTATGAAGAGACAGATATGCCGGGCACAAGGATGGATAGACAAATGATGTATAAACAGATAGAAACACAACATTCGTTTTACTTAATTTCCATCTTACATGCATATCATTATTTTGTAAGAAAATTTTTAGTCTAGTGTACATACCACGAGATATATTAAATATTAGATATTAGATATTGTTATATAGCTGGCGTTTTTCCCGCTACAGCACGCCCATTCATTGGCTAGTTCATGGTCACATGATATCTAACAATGAAACTGTTTCCCACCAAACGCCATTAGCGGGCAACATTGCGCAAGCTATGACGTCAAACGGGAAACAGTTCACCGTTACTTGGGAAATGTTGACCGCTGTTGCACGTCATTTGTAAATAAAGTGATTATTCGTTTTCCACCGGTTTGACCTATTTGTTTTTCTATATAACAAATCACTTGATGACTGGTCCCGAGGGGAACAGTGAATTTTGTTTCCTGAGAATCTCAATGTTTCCCAAGACGAAATAGTTTTCCAGGTTTCACTTTCACGCTCATGTGGCATTACTCTATCTTTGGCCAATCAGAACTAAGCATTTTGTTTTTTTCAAAATAAACTCCTCAAAGCTAGAAAGGTGTATGAGTAAATTGACATCAGATTCATTACTAGATGTTGCAAATCAAATATTTTACACCATCGTGGAAATTGCCAATTTGCTTTGGAAGAAGTGTCGACAGGCCATGATGAGGTAAAATATTTAATGGCTCCTAACGCAACTGGAAAATCATTTCGAATCGAACCAAACCTGTTTCTATTCTTACATCAGTTAGGTCTTTCAGTTTCCAGCGTTTCAGGCAAAATTATTTTTGATACGAAATTGAGTGGGTGGTTTTTAGAGAGACAGCCTCTTAAATGATTGCATCGCTGCATTTGAAACAGTCCAGACATTAAAATTGTTTTTTATTACTGTTCAGTTGCACTCGTCAGGAATGACCAGACATAAATGTGATGTTTATTCCGGGTTTAATGCAAAGCCCAGATAACCTGGACACTGGCATGAGGTTTGGTTTCAGTATACCTGGATTTTGCTCTTTTACAGTCAATCCTAATTTGCAACTTACATTATACAAGTGAATATATGAAAGACCATATATTTGAATTGTGGATAAAGACAAGAAGATATGATTGATCATCGCAGTTATGCACACAACTTAAGCAGTTGTGAAATTAAAGCCTTTAAAAAATTCAGGTGTGAACGGGATTCAAATCCATGACCTCTGCGATACCAGTGCAGTGCTCTACCAACTGAGCTATCAAGCCATCTGGGAGCTGGTTACTTTGGTAGTTTGTAATATACCCGGAGATGGTGAATATACATGTATAATTGAATATATGAAAGACCATATATTTCAACTGCAGTTATGCACACAACTTAAGCAGTTCAAACGAATAGTCTCTCATGTATTCACTTGTATTCTTCACCATCTACGGGTATATTACGAACTCACAAAGTGACCAGCTCCCAGATGGC